GGGGGGGGGCAGCCTCAGCTGCAGAAGGAAGGGCAGAGTCCTGGCACTGCCCATCACCTGTAGGGTCTACATCACATCCATTATTGACAAGCCCTTTTACATTCATGCCTCAGGGAACCCATCACATCCTGTGAGGAATCCGTTTCACAGATTAAAGATTTAAGGCCCAGAATTGGGGTATCACAAGGCCCAGAAATGGGGTATCACATGCCCATGTCTCCTGTCTCCTGACTCTGACACCAGCTCTCCCTCAGGGCGATGGGCTCACTGGGGGCCGTTTGGATGACGGATGATTGGCAGATTGAGAATGTCTCTTTCCTACAAGCTTAAAAATGGGACCATCTGGACCCTCTTCAAAGAGGGTACCACACAGAGATGGGGGGGTGTAATGATGGCCCACCAAGAGAGGAGGCAGATACTGACAGTGTCCCAGGTGGGAGACAGGGTCAGGCAAGTCATAGCTAGAGAGGTTCCCCCTCCCCTCCCTCTGGCCCTTCTAGACTTCCTGGAGCCCCTGGGTCAAAGCGTTCCTGGGGCTCCTCCAGGGCCAGGTCCCAGCAGACCCTGCAGCTCAGGGTATCAGTTCTCATCTGTTTTTCTTGCTATTTTCTCCATGGTGGGAAAGGGCTGGACACAGGACCTTGGCTGAGGTGGGGCAGGCTCTCACAGGAAGGGCTGCCACCCAGGACCGGGGAGCGACCCACCTCTCCTACACGTGGGAAAGAAAAGCAGAGGCTGCAAGTCCTGGGGTGCACATGGGGCAAGGTGTGTGGAATGTCCCTCAAAAATCAGGGTGCAAGGCCTCACCACCTCTGGGGTCATGCTGGGAACTAGCCAGTGAGAAGGCTGACTTTAGGAGTGATCAGTCCCAGATGAATGCAGGAGGGGGTGGCCAAGTGGAGTCAGGGACACTCCAAGTAGGGCCCTGTCCACAGGCAGCTCCTTGAAGGTGTCACTGAAGGGACCAGCCACACACTACCTCCAGTACCTCCCTCCCAGTGCCTAAGATCCAGGGGAGAAAAGAGTCAGACAACACTCAGATTTTGATCCAGACCACTGCGCAGAGGCAGTGCCATTCCCAGAGCCCAAGGATCTCTTTCCCGAGCCTTCCCTGTAATCTGAGCCCTGCACTCGCTGTGAAGTCCAGCCACTGCTGGAGGCCCCTCTGTGAACACATCTGGGCATCTTCCACCTGGGGCCCTGGCACCTGCTGCTCATCCCCAGGTGTCTGGGAAGGCTCCTCCCCTCGCCTCAGCTCTCAGCTCAGAGGTCACCTCCTCAGAGAAGAGTTCACTGAGCATCCCACAGAAGTGCCCCTGTTTAATCCCCGTGTTTAATTTTCCTAATAGAGCTGATCACTTCCTGATTCCCTCCACAAGCATTTTATTATCTGTGTCTGTCCAGGAGAATGTAAGTTCTGTTGGGACAGCGCCTTTACAGGGCAGGCTCACCACGGCCTCTGCAAAACCTAAGCAGTGCTCAGAAACCATCTGCACAGTGGGCCATACATGTAAAGATGGGGAAATGAATCTATACACCACTTATTCAATTACTTATGGCTTATTCAATGATAAATAAAATGTATTCAATGATAAGATGATCTCTTCAATCATTTGTGACTGACTGAGGACCTGCCACGGGTGACAGAGATGAAGGTTACATGGTAGGTACTCAGTTGGAGGTCGGGTCACAAAGGCAGAGCCAGAGCCCTGGAGGAAGAAACTTATTCCTAGGTCCTTCCCCGGTGCCTGGGAGCTGTGGGGAGCCTGCCGCCGAGTCAGGTAACTACTGGTCCCTGATCAGGTCCTGCCACATAAGGCTGCTCTGACGAGGGCCTCAGGAGAGGTGCGAGCCAGTGCCACCTGCCACCAGCCAGCTCCAACACGGCCAGGGCAGGCAGAGCCCCATGCTGCCCCGCACAGTGTGAGACCAGCAGAGGCCCCTGGCCAGATGCAGCCCCCATGGAGTCTTCCAACCTGCAGCCCAGAGAAGCAGGTCAACTTAAGCGAAATCCCAGCAGGAGCCATGAGCGCGTGTCCCAAGCTCCCCAACTGTCCTTTGCC